TCATCTAAGGCTAGCATTTAATATATTGATGAACATATATTAGTTTCACAATGTGTTTGCTTCATATGTATACGGTTTACAGTGTGAAACTTTTGTACGTGTAAATTTTGTTTCACAAACAGGCTAAAAATATACACTTTGTGAAACAAATATATGTTAATCGATATTTTAAATCCTAGTCTTAGATGGAAAAAAAATCATATAAAATGGTACATATACACTAGTTTTCAAGGTTATCACAATTTCATGGGTTATCAAAAGAAGATCGCTATATGTAGGGGATGTTTATTTTACAAACCATATAATTCTTACAAATGTGACAAATCGATCTCAACCATACATGTAGATAATCATCAATGTAGATTAACTCGGTTCCTAAATTTACTCTCAACTGCATTTTATAAATGGCTCTAAAAATAAACAAAACCAATGATTGAGATTAGGTTTGTAGGTAAGAGTCACATGGTTTGCGTTTGAACCTCGTCCTATATAAATAGTCCCCTTCTTTTGTTAACAATACTATTAATGTTAATTTTATAAACCAATCACAACCATTAATATGTTGAATCAACTGATGAAATATAATGACGGCAATTTTGTAATTAAACTGGTGAGGCCTGTGGAAGGTTTGTATCAAGCGTGAACACTAGTGAACAAAAAATCAGTCCAAACCAAAAGGGAACTATCGAGTTCCCTAAAATACCACCGACTTTGTTTAGTAACGCATCACCCCGATTTTGGTGGACAATTCTTTGGTGAAGGCATTATCTTGATACCGATCATCTCTTGCAATCGAAAAAAGATGGTAGATTTTTTTGRAATCGAACATGTGTGTGTCGACAACTTTTACAACACTAATTATAGGGTTTTGGAAAAACATGTTCATCATGAACATGAAAACAGGTTCACTCACGGAAAAACGAGCTCTTAAAACATGGGTTTGGAAGAACATGTTCACTCATGACCATGATAACATGTTCACTTTGGCAAACGAGGTTCACACAAAACAGGGGTTTGGAAAAAACAGGTTTATTCATGAACATGATAACATGTTCACTTTGGGAAACCACGTTTACTGAAAACAGGGGCTTAGATAAACATATTTGCTTATGGACATGAAAATTAATGGTCAGTAAACATGTTCACTTATAAAGAAAAAGACGACGACATGTTGAAGAAGAAGTAACATCGTCAACATCCATTTGTGAAGATGAAGATGACTACATACGAATCGATAATTAAAAAAAAAGTAAATCCCTAGAAATTATTAAAACAATAACCTCCATATTTATCTTTACTATATAAATGGAAACATCTAATGTAACAATTTATTTAAAATTAAAAAAAAAACTAAAAGTACAAGATTACCCTTGAAACCATTGATAATAAATAGATTTGATTGGTTAATAAGGGTTAAAAAGTTAACACTAATATATTGGTTAACAAAAAAAACTAAAAGTACAAGATTACCCTCTCTCTATATAAATTATAAAATTTCAATATATTATTAACATTTGGAAAATAAAGGTCAACATTTTGATCTCCAAATATATTTGGAGTCAATGTTATGAGTTCGTTTTTTAATGTTTTAGTGGTGGATTAGAGTAACGTTTTAGTGTTTATAGTGGTGGATTAGAGATGCCCTTGATGAAAATATGTTGGTGACAACAGTTTCCAACCATTTGTCAGAAACAACTTTTAATCATTTCTTATGGCATCTCTAAGAAATTATCTAAAACTTCTTCGAATGGAGAATGAAACTTTAAAGTCTCAAAAGCAAAAATACATTTCACTCTAACAGATTCTTCATTCTAAGGAATACAACATTTATTATATTATTAAAATATTTTATTTTTTTAATAAAATATTATCTCTTTTTACATATTTAATTTCAAAATTTCCTATTAATAGGAACACATTAAAAGATATTTCTCTCTCTCTCTCTCTCTCTCTCTCTCTCTCTCTCTCGTTGTGATTGCTTTTGAATGTTTTTTAAATTTGGAGAGTTTTACATTCTCTCTCCTACTTGAGAGCAAAAACCATGTTCATACCCCTCAAAATCTCTATTTTAAAGAATCTATTGAAGATGTTTTAACAGATTTTTTAAAATAAAAAAAAAATAAATGTTTTAAAGTTTAATCCTATTATAACTCTAAGAGGCCAAAATGAAGAAAGCACAATAGAAAAGATAAAAATATGTAAATTTGGAGGGTTGATGTTGATGGGAAATAATATTTTTATTCTTCACACCAATTAAACGTGAAAGTTTATTAAAATATTAAATATATTGAATATTTAATAATATAATTAACAGTGGAATCTTCAAAATAAAGAAACCGTCAAGAATTGATTGTAATTATTTTATCTCGAAATCTTGACTTTTTCTTCTCCATCTTAAAAAATTTGTTAAAGATGTTCTTAAGCAACCAACTTACGATGATGGTTTCAACACTGGAAAGCCTTATTTGTACGGCTTAACAAGAGTTTATGCAACTCATTCCCTAGTCATGGTTTTCTTACCTTTTGACTCGTATTTTTTCTAGTTTGAGGATTTCAAAGAAATAATCACTTTGTCTTATGCACAAAGGACACCGTCTCCGTACATCCCATCCCAAAGGCTCAGGCCTTACTTTCGATTGGGATATGCTGAGTTTGTTTGATTTGATTATTTCTATAAAAGTTCTTCCTTGTATTTAGGTGCTTCATGTGTTCTAGCGAAATCTGGAACCATATAATCTTGCATACGGCGAATTCACGTATCTAATTTGTTCCAACTGCTCCTCGTTTGTAAACCATCCAAGAAACTTTCAAACAACAAACAAGGTCTTCCTACAACCAAAAGGTCATTGGTCCAACTGTATCCGATAACTCGTCATTCCTAGAGGTCACAGGTTCCAACCTCACCAAAAGGTTAAAAACATATGCAAGTTTTATTTGTTGTATATAAATATTATATATACTACAAATTCTTTAAAGTTCTTGTGTTCAAACCATGTATCCATGTCTCTTCTCAAGATATTCCTTCAACATATTTCTTAAGAATTATTGTAGGCATTGCCATTGTTCGATGTGTAAAGCCTTTACAACTTCAACATCTATGGAAGATGCCTACAAATGTGTCTAAAACAGTTTTGTTCAAGGATATACTAGAGTTGATGAGGACAGCAAATGATCCTTGCATCCAATCACTTAGGTCCATATGCAACCCATGGGTATTTTTCTACAACTCTGCTAAGTTACAAAGAACTTAAACTAGGGATCGTAATGATTGCGTGATCATGATGCTAAACAAGGCCCAACCTTGGCAAAAGGCCAACCTTAGCATGCAATACAAGGTACACTTGAGTACCCCACAGACCTTAGCCGAAGTCGAATGTTAGCATGGCAAAGAAGGTCATCCACAACATAGGGATGACCATAACGTTGCATTAGCACCAATTCATCATGAGAAAGCAAGAAAATAGCGAATAAACACCTTCCACATGTCTACAATTGAAGACCCTAAGGGGATGCATTAAAGATCTGAGCTAAGAAAAACAGTACAAAGTTACTGTTCATGGCTACTTAGAAGTACCATGACACATGCTTAAAGATGGCAATAGGGTGGGGATGGGGTAGAGTTTGCCGTCCCCCTTCCTGGTTCTCCTACGGAATCAAATCCTCTCCTTTTTGGATTATGGGGGTTTCCCTGTCTCATCCCCGGCCCAAACATCACGTAACATGATTCAATATTTCTCAAAATTTACCAAAATAGCTGATGCTACGGTTGATGCTATTGCCCCAATAACATCATTAGCCGATTCTTGCCCAACAAAGATACTTTCGTTTCACAAATCAAAGGGAAGAAGATGTTTGAAGTGAGATACTTTGTTCTAGAGAATATCTTGGTCAGATGAAAGAACAACTTTCATTTTTTCACAAATATCTGATCCCGTTCTCCATTCATCTTTACTAGGCAATCTAACATATGTTTCTCTTTCTTTCTAGAAAAACAAATAAAAACATCTGTATACTCTAAAGCAATATTCAACACGAAATAAACAAAAATGCATATAGTATTTGCAATCAAGAATTAGTTTTTTTTGCAAACAACACCAACTTGACGTACAAAAACTCCAAACTCTTGTACTCTCTTGGTAGAACTTTCTTAACATTTATAACCGCACTCTCAATTAGAGATAAGGACAAAGCAGGGATGGGCTGGGGTTTGTCGTGCCTCGTCTTCTGTTCTCCTACCATGTCCCCGTCAAAGACCGGGAATTCCCAACCCCAGTCAGGGAAGATGAACCAGGTACCCATTCGGGTTGGGTCAAATCACCATCCCTAGCCATGTTAAGAATTCAACTCATACTTTCCTTACCAAGCATGGGGATGAGGACATATTGCCACAACTCTTGAGCCAAAACATATGAGCCCTATATTATTATTGGAAAGTCTAATGTAACAAGGTAAAATGGATCTCTTCATCATCACTCATAAAAAGTCACTTTGCTAGCTACTTCATCATATATCTATTTTAATATCTCAAACATGAAATATACGAAAAGGACCAAGGAATATCTATGCTATGGTTCATACTTAATGGTTTGAGTTCGCTTTGCCCATGACCCACATGTAATTATTGAAAGTTGAAGCTATAGACGCAAATGGCTTGTGAATTGGTGATCAAAAATGAATCTTTGTGAACAATGTGGATATCATTTGAAAATGAGTATCAAAGAGCTTCATATGACACCGTTACAAAGATTTTGAAGACCCCAACACATACTTTCTTAATTTGACTAAGGGATAAGTACGTCTAGCCACAACTCTCAGAATCGTCCCATAAACCCCATATCGGATAGTCCAACCTAAGGAGACAAAAAGGCTTTTAGATAAGATGAGATAGGATGGTATTATTATAATATTTATCCAACTATAATTAAACCGAATGAAGTTCACAATCTACACATATATAAACTGTAGACATGATATAGCATAGTATTGAAAGTGAAACAATGAGAAACAAAGTGAAACATGAACTTTCTTGCTTTCAAGGCTAAATTCTTTTCAATGTATCATTGATTGAAGAAATGTAGTTGGCAAAAACCTAAAAAGTGCAATAATTCAACTGCTACTAATTTAACAAAAACCACTCCAACAGAAGATATCTATCATTCAGAGTCTTCCGAAGACTGGCAAACAGGAAGATGATATGTATCTAACTGCCAATATTTGTGTTTAACACCCTCCCAGACTTCTTCTCCTAAACAATCCTTAACAGGTAAGGATATAAATTGTGTTGAATAACCCAAACTCTCAAGTTCTAGGGATACTATCTGACAGTAAACAACATGAAAGAAGGCATTACCTCCACAAAGGCCATTAAAGAACGAGTAAATCCCTCCAGGCTTCAATAGAGTGGGGAGATGCTGGTGGAATTCTCTTAGATCCTCGTAGTATTCCCCATAAGTATCAAAGAAGATACCTGAGCAATTGAAACCATAAATTCAAAGTTGTAATGGTAATTGCTTCAAAAGAGATGCATATTCCGTTTCATATCAGCAGAATCTAAAAAAATTAAAGAAAACTGATATATGCCTTGCACATTTATAAGGCACTGTATGCAAAAATAGTAACGACTTGGCAATTAAACAAATAAAATAAATGGGAACATTATGGCTGTGGCAATCCCCAATATAACATTAATTTGTTTGGTGAACCCAGTGCTTGCCATTTTTTATATTGGCATAGGGATAAAGCAAAAGAAGACATTGTCAATTTGCCACAGCCATTATATCCCTTAAAATATACAAGGCACACAAAAACATCTTTCAAATATATCAATTGCTACAGCTAATGTAAGCAGTTGCCACTGCCAATAAACAGATGTGTGATATGATGTTAAGATGAGCGTTGGACAATAAACAAAAACTGAAACCAAGAGGATAAAACAATAAAATTCCAACTATTTATCGGATGTGCAAGTTTGTATGCCAAATTTTTACAACTATATCGTGTTGAGACATTTATCCGTATAGCTTCTTTGGGAACTCAAGCAAAACCAAACATAAATGGAATCACTCTCTTTAATTCTCTAACCACTTCCCTTCTCTTCTGTTTCACACCACATTGCAGTTGTGACGTCTTGTATCAATTACAGTATAAAATCAGTTTCGAATACTATCTATTTTACAAGTAGAGTAAAGTAGGATGATGTACCATTTTGGTAAACACTTTCTAAGTTTACAAGTAAAGTGAAAGGTGCAGATGTAATTAGAGAAAAGGGGCAAAATGATCAGGTACCGTCATAAGATTCAAGTTGGTGAAGAACATCCTGCCATCGACCAAATACAATCTTCACATTTTCCTTCTCAGACCAACCAGAAAGGCGCATCCGATCATAAACCTCAGGATGAGCCTCAACAATGGTATGTGTAACAGGTCCATACTGCTGTATGGCAGTATCCACGAGACCCATTCCAAATCCTATGTTCAGGATGTGACCACCTCTTGAGCAGACAGCCTTTGCATGAGCCTCCATTAATGGTTTCTCCCAAGCCATCATGACAGCCTTGCTATTGGCATCCATGAGCTTATCCTCGCTAAAACTAACTCTATCTTCTAAATAGTCCCCATCCAAATCACCAATTTTATTTTCTCTTCTTGCAATTGTACCAAGTATCAATTCAGCTTGTATCCCTACGCATACAAAGAACAATTCACTAAGATCTTAGAAAATGCTTTAAAGATGATAAGATAACAAAATACAGTCGGTACATCAATTATTGTATTCTAAGTTCCTCTTTTGTTGCACGGAACTATAGTAGACCGGAACTCCAATAAGTTTGAACATAATTCTATTATGATGCATGGAAACACAAATTGTCCAAGGTAAAAGGCCTGCTTGGTAGATCTTAGGGCATGCCATTTTGTACAACTAGAAAATAGATTCCAGAGATATGCCCATCTGACTTCCAAATTTTTTTTATCAATCCTTTTTAGAGTCTGGTTTCTACCATGTCGTACCTGCATTACACATATCAATTAAAATGCACTGTCCTATTCTATTGTTATATGTTTTGAGTCTAAGAGAATGTTAATTGCGGACTAACACCATAAGTGAGCCACCATAAGAAAACATTGGATCATATATGCAATTGTCATTGTAAAGATGGGAAATATAACTCGTTCACAACTTGGATGGATATAATAAGCTTATTGACCAGGAATATCACTAATTCGTCTTAACAACTGATATAATCATATAGCTGGAAAAAAATGAGATGGTCATTGATGACTACCATGCAAGATTTACTCTTAGCTGTTGGGACTTTCAGGTGCAAAAAGTGCCACTGAAGACGATATAAATGAACTCACATGATCAGCCACTGCCCAATTGAGTAATTCAAGTTGTTGTGCAACCAAATCAATTTACCATTAACTAAATTAAATGAGCACCTTAAAACACATTCCGGATCCTATAGAAGCCAAAAATGAATTTCAATAACATAATGCAGCTATACAAGAACATCATAAGAAGTAGCTAAGAAAAACTTTCAATGCAAACCTTTTGTTAAGTGATATGTACACCAAATTTGTACATTAGCAGTTATATCCAGACCACCTTTTTTCATAACAAATTAGATTCTTTCAACATTTAATTACCGCAGAAGCGCAGATATAGAAGCTATTCAAATATTGAGCATGAAAGCAACTCTTTTATGATCAATTTACATCAAAACTATGTGCTAAAATTGATTTCCACCTCTTCCACATATGTGATAACAGTCCTGTAATCATGGAAAAGACAAAAAAAAAAGTAATGCTTAGCAGGTAGTTCGGCAAGACCATTGATTCAATGATGAGCAAAATTAACAGCAATTAGTTCCAGAAGTGAGAAACAGAGAGCCGTTAATGTGAAGATGGCAATATGCAGAAATACCAGCATTAAGCAGTACGTCAAATGCATCTTGGTGACCGGAATCCATGGCAAAGTCTCCAGCGGATAGATTGGAAGGAGAGAGGGCGTTCCATGGAGCACCGGCTTCGAGTAGGATCTTGACCACATCGGCGTGCCCGTGCTTGGCAGCTAACATCAGAGGTGTGAAACCGTCTTCGTCGAAGTAGGAAACATCAGCTCTGGATGCGATTAGGGCCTTCACTTTCTGAACATCTCCGTTGGTCGCCGCCTGGCATAGTAGCCGCTGCTCATCTTCCGCCATTTCAGTAACAAGTTCTTATGCTGCTTTCCCTTCGAATATGACCTATCCTCGAAGAAGCGGATGGTTTTATAGATGTGTTTGGATTGGTTGTAAAAACTAAGGTAATAAGTAATTTTGAGTGATGAATAATCAGTCTGTGTTAAATCGGTACAAGAAGGATTTAAAGAAATTAAATGATTCTAACTTATAATAAGTTAATATGAATTTATGTAAATTGTTTTAAATAGGGTGCTTAAAAATCCGACCAATCTGAAACCCGATGCGGAATAATCCAACCCGAAGCAACCCGATGTCTAATCGAGTTGTAAAATCGTCAAACCATAGGTATTAGATTGATATTTGTCACACCCCGCTAAAGCGGAAACATAAGGTATGTCAGGTAGAGTCTCATAGCAATAGAGTATAAAGAAACACAACCATACATTTAAAATTTCATTACATCACCATCCAGAGTTTACAATCC